TATGTAAAGTGAAGTAAACTGAAAAGTAGGTTAGTAACTAGGCAGAAAGGAAATAAGTAAGTAAGTTTGTAAAAAAGAAAGCAAGTAATTACGTAAGTAAGTAATTAATTGAGTAAGAAAGTAAGCAAGTAAGTAAGCAGGTAAGTAAGTGATTAATTAAACAAAGTAGTAATCAATTAAGCCAGTAGTATGTAACTGAGTAAGTAAAAAGTAAAGTAAGTAAGTAAAAAAGTAAGTAACTAGGTAAGTAAGTAAACAAGTAAGTAAGCGAGTAAACGAAAATAAAGGAAAGTAAGGTAAAGTTAAGTAAACTGAAATGAAGTGCTCTTAAAATAAAGAACAGGTAAAGTAAAATAAATTAAAACAAAGAAAACTAAATTAAAAAAGAAGTTAACTAATATAAAAAAAGTAAATTGGATGTTATTGTATGACTGTATGTAAGAAAAGCGTGAGTAAGTAGGAGAGTAAGTAAGGAAGTCAGTGAGCAAGCAAGTAAGTAAGTCAGTAAAAAGTAAGATGGTAAGCGAAAAAGTAATTAGGTAAATAAGAAAGGAGGTGGGTAAGTAGATTTGGAAGTAAGTTAGTCAGTAAGTAACCAAGTTAGTGAGTAAGTAAGCAAGCAAGCAAGCAATTAAGTAAGTATTAAGTAAGTTAGTTAGGCAAAGTAAAGAGAGAACGCAAAATGCAGTGAAAACATCAAAGTAAAGGTAAAGTTAATTGTTTAGTTAAGGTAAAGTTAATTGTTTACTTAATTGTTTAGTTGTCTGTATGTATCCAAGTATGTGGGTATGTTTGTATGCAAGTATGCAAAATGTATGTTTTTAGTATGTAAGTTAAAAGTGTGTTGGTAAGTTAGTTCTTAAATTTTAGATATATTAAAGTAAATCAAATTAGGTATATTTAAGTAAAGTAATGTAAAGTAAAGTTAAGTAAATTAAAATAAATCAAAGCATGACATTAATAAAGTAAAAGGGAAAAAACGCAAAGTGAGAAGAATTTGAATAACAAGTAAATAAAAAGTAAAATTTTAAAGTTAGGTACAGTAAGTAAACTAAGTGAGGAAGTAGTTGAATAAAAAAGAATAAGTAAAGGATAAGTAAGCCAGAAAATAAGTAAGTAATTAAATCTTTTGATAAATGATAAATAGGCAAACCCCAGAAAGTCGGCAAGTATTACTTGAATTACTGAACGTCTCAATTGAACGCTATCCAAACAATAAAACCGTTCTCAAGGCCATTAACTAAAAAGAGGTAGCTGAAAAGTTTTCAAAATTCCAGTTGTTTAGGTCTCAAAATTCAAACTATTTTTCTGGCAGAGGTAAAAATCAGTTTATTCGAAGTCGCTGTTTTGTAGACATATGGCGGTGTGCACATGACAGAGCTAAAGACTGCCAGTGTTCGAAAGTTAACTGCATAACCTTGTGCAGATAAAATATTCAATGTAAAACTTTTGGTTTTTTCAAGTTATTGAAAAGACAGAAAACTATTCCCCTCGAATGGCCAAGAAGGCTGTGGTTATAGTTCCTGGGCAATATATAACAGTACGTTGGACACTCCTGATAAGTTTAAATCTGGCTGTATCGTGCAAAAAAGCGTGCAATCATAAGAACTTGTAGTCGTTCAAGTACTTTTCCAAGGAACAGTTTTTCATACCAATTAAGCCGTCATAAGGTCTTAACTTAATTAAAACGTCGCAAATAAGGTTATTAGATCTAACAAAGAATGAGAAAAAGATAGCAAAAGTTCTTTGGTTAGAACTGTCATAATAAGTTCGTTTTAAGGAGTAACTCGGTTTTTCCCAATATCAATGTTTTTTTTCCAGCGCCTCTGCAAGCTGCTACATGCCAGCCAGTGGAGATAAAAGATACCTAGCAGATACTTTTAGTCTTGTCTGCTTTCCGGCGGTAAATAACCGAGTGAACTACCGGAAACACTTTTATTTTGTTGAAATGCACCAAGTTTTTGCAAAAAGCTCGGTGCACTTTTTCATTTACTTTTCTTCTGTTCCTTTTCTACTCGTCCTTTCCTTATTGAAACTTCCTTTTCCCTCTAGAGAAAAACAGCTTACTCTAAACCCTCTAAATTGTATAAGTTAATTATCAATATCTTAAAAACACCAAGTTCCCTCTAATTTTATTTTTCTCATTTCAAAATTTGACAAACTTATCTTTTGTTATATTTTGCCCAGAAACGGCTGCCGCCTTTGGAGAGTAGTTTCAATTTACTGCCTTTTCACCATAAAATATAGGTCAAATTAAGGAATTAGTTTACTGCTGCCAACAGTTAAGCTACGCTGACAAACTCACCGGCGAATTTTTATTATATACGATAAAAGTCAATTCCCCATTCACTAACAAATTTTAACTAGGTCGAAAGTTCATTTACCCGAACAAATATATCAATTAATATGATTCATATAATTAACCAGGACCAATAATTTTGAATTAGAAATACTTTTGTATCGTGTCACTTGTTGTTAAGCTAAACTTAGCAAGATCCTTAGTAGGGGGTCTTCTGCTTTTTGGTTGGAAAATTTCTTTCGTTTGCAAAATCCTAGGATGAGGGTCCTCTAAAAAATTAAGGACCCCTTTTGCTTTACATGAGGACCCCCTTAGGATCCGGGACACGATACAATACTACTGGAGATGTCTCATCTGGCTTCATATAATTTTTGAACTCAATCAGCCATCCAACGCATCTGCTGTAGAGGAAACTAACTTTCTTGAGACAACTAAGGCTAGGTTCAAATCGGCCGGGACCTAACGTAGTTCAGACCTTTTTTTCCAACGTACTTCACAAATATTGGTGCCTTTTTTGGGGCACCTCCACAGCTTTTTCATTGCATATTCTTTGACATGCGAATTTTAATATTTAATAATTAAACAAAGTTGATGCATTTGTTTTTTCATCAAATGAACCGACAAAAATGATTGGTTTCAAACAACATAACAATAATGAAAACTCGATTTCAGAAATTTTTTAATTCAATAAACCTCGCAATTTTTTGAAGTGCATAATTTATACATATAGCTTTAAGCTATGAGATTTGTTACGTGCAAATTTAATGTGGATGCCTTCAGTTTGTTCTTTATTCCAAGTTATTGCTCGCAAATTTGAGTCTATTTGTTTTTGGTGCCACTTTTGATGAATCACATTAGCAATTTATTGGCATAGGTATCTGCTTTATTCGTGACTAGTAAATGTCGGTTGTTAAGCTTGCGTGGCTGAGTGGATGGTGCGTGAGACTCAACATCTCTTGATTGCAGTAGGTCGCAGCTTCGAATCCTACACGTAGCCGAGTTTTTGCTGATTCGGGGCTCATTTCTTCTTTTTTTTTTCTTATTTCACTTGAAAGAGCTGCTTTTTGGGCGTGTTCTCGCAAGTGTTTGCAAAGTGCAGCCTCGCCTCTGTGTAAAAGGATGGCAAAATCCACTATCCAACACCAAAAAACATGATCGATTTCTATTTTCGAAAGTTGAATTTTTTTCAGGTTTCCCTGCGAAATAAAAATTGTATTTGTTGAACCAGTTTCTCAAACGAGTTAATTTTATCAATACAATGGCAATCATAAATTGTTCGAGAAAATCGAAGAGCTTTAAAGGCATCTTTTTTTCTTTGAAGTCGAAAATTGAGATTTTAAAAATATCATAGTATACTGTTTTCAGCTTTTTTCTCTATTCTTCTTAAGGTTAGCTTTCTTGTAAATTCCTGAATGCAATTTTTAGGCCCTATTGGTAGGGGCAATTGAGTTTCAAGAAGTTTTGCGGATTTTAAGTTAAATTTTTGCAAGAAATTTTTTTAATGAAAATTTAAAAAAAGTTGTTCAGTTTTTGATTTTTTTATTTATTCGTATCCGGTTTAGTGGCACCATATAGCATCATTGGATGAGCAAAAACAAGTTTCCTATGCAGGCGAGTCTTTTTTTGGAATTTTTTCTTAATGAAAGCAATTTTTTAGGCTGAACGTGTGTCTGCTCAAAAACTGTTGGCTTTAAAACCGCTTTATTTGCATGCAACTGTCAGTTTCAGTTTTCTTATTTTTTCATGTTTTTCTCAGGTTAACTTTTTAAATTCTGGTAGATCTAGCCGCTCTTGACATTTTCAAAACTCTCTTTCCGGCTTTCGTCTCACTTTCTGTATGCTAGTTTGTCATGCTTTGTTCGTGTTTTTATCGCAAATGGTCGAAAGCTCTGCTTCGCCTGTGTAAAATACTCGTTTTTTGTTTGAAAGGTTTGATTTTTTTTTCAATCGCCTGTAAGCGGGTTTGTTTTCTTGATCTTTAATCCGACCATTTGAAAAAAAATATGGAGGAATTTATTATTCGGATGTTTTATTTTTTTCCCACGCGAAACCAGGTACCATAAATAATCGTTGAAAAATGTCGAGCTGTATATCATTTTAATGCACTTTCAGTCGTGATTTGAACATAAAAATTGTTCGCAAAGTTTTCGGTGTCGAGAAAGTCGGTTTAAAATTTTTGGTCGAACTTCGAGCTAATGAGATGAGCTTGCAGGCTTACAAAATTTTATTCAAGCTTTAAGCCGCGAAAACTTAATTTTAACTCTAAGTTTTTGGATGTTTCAAGCGCAATTTGGGAATCGAAAATTTCAAAAATTTTTTTTTAAAAAAAATTAAATTGTTTTGAAAATTATAAATGTTTTACAGTTTTTGTTTTCGTTGCTCTAGTTATTTTTCTGCAAATTGTTTTTTATTATCCTATTTGACTATGACTATCGAATACGCTTAATTTCTATGTTGTGGTTCAGATCGTTTCATCTCAGCCCACTTAAAACGTCTCTAATTTGAAAAAGTATTTTTTTTCGACTATGGTCAGAACATTATGTGCCATATGCACAGTAACCGGCTGTCCTTGCATTTGAAGTTTCAAATGCTTGCGATGAAATAAAGATTTTTGCCTGGTGAATGAGTTTTTGAAGCCCAATTTAAAAAATTTGGAAAGGACCCTTCAATATAATCGTGGCTAGATTGAGGTTTTATTTAGGCGATGTTATTCTGACAGTGACGTCAGATGTCAGCCCTATAGCTAGGCGTCACTCGACATCGTCTGGTTCGTCCACGACCTCAGGAAAATCCACATCTGGAAAAAAAAGAGGCAAAGGATCCACTGCAAGCTCTAGTAGTGGTATGGCCGTGGATAGTAATAAGTATGACTCATCTGTGCTATGTCCGGCACTGAATAAGCAGACCTATTATGTAAACAACAACGATTTGGGAAAGTTTGAGGAATTCCTTGAGCAGAATAACGAGATAACGTAAGTCCATATGAAACTCATTCTCGGAATGAGCTTAACTTTGAGTTTTATTTTGAAATACTTGCTACTGACCGATATGCCCCATCCCCCAAATTTAACAACTAAACTATCGCCGTCTTAAAACGCTGATTGAAGTGCTTCGTAATTTGCATTAAATTAATATTTAAAGTACTTATCCTTTTTGTTTAGCCTAACTGTCATCTACGTGAATGCTCGCGAGTGGAATAGACTGGTAGAGGGAAAAGAAAGACTCGAGGTACGTGTTTACTCTACAACGGATGTGAAATCATTTACAGCTACTACGTGTTTTTTTTTGTATTTGTAAGGGTCAATCAGTGATATTTACGTCGTGTGCTGTTAGTAAAAAAGTTGTTCACACTCAAGTTTGAACTTTTATGGTTTGACCTTAGGTATCTTTTTAACTTCAATTTTCTGAAAAGAAGGCAAATTGCTCTCTTAAAAAACAAAAAGGAAAATGTCACAAAAAGTGTGAATGAAAAGTCGAGGTGGATTCTAATCTTCAGAGTTCACAGCAAAGTTAAAAAATCACCTATTGTCCCATGAATACTGAATGTTGTATTTGTTACCCTTTACGAAGACGATGACGGAAGATCTGTTTTTAGTCTGCTTTTTTTCATGAGAAAAATTTCCGAACTGTTAATTAGCTGTTTCAACGGTTTTAAGTCTTTTTTAGAATCGTGAGAGCTTGTGTTCTCGTCATAGGAACCGTAAACACCTTTTCTTAGAAATGGATCTTGAATCCTTATGAAACTTCAGTAACATCCAGGCCCTTCGCACTTGGTCTCAAGGTAACGTGCGCGCCTTCGCATCTTTAGTTTCCACTGTTCGAGTCTCTGTCTAGGTTTTGTTATCCAGATGTAGAGAAATAGTAATTTTTTCTTTAAAGAAAAAATTCGAGAGACTATTGCTTGTCTGTTGTTGTTTTTCAAGCTACAGGCTTTCATTCGAAAGCATGGATCTTGAAATGAATTTTTCGAAAGGATTTTTGGAAACTGTTTTAGTTTTCAATTAAAGATTGTTATTCCTTATTGATTGTTTTTCGTCATTGATATTTTTGTTCCGACCACTGAAAGTGAGGAGGAATTTTGTTATCGAGTGTGTTTAATTGTTTTTCCACTATAAATGAGGTATCTTGAATAATCATGGGTAATCATCTCTTGGGTCGAGTGATATGTCCTATTAAAGCCCTCTCAGTCGTGATACGGAAGTCATGAATTCTCCCAGTGTCGAGAAGAACCGGTTTGAATCTTTTGCTTTTCAGTCCAGTTCCCAGCGATTCCCTGGCAATAAAAAGACTGCTTCTTGTTTAAGTAATTTTCTGTAAAAAAGCGATTTTTTTTGTTCACAGGACTCATCTATAGTAGGTTTCTGGACTCATCTCTAATGGTTCCTTGTTTCATAATGAATTCAAATTCTTGGTTTTACCGCCCTATTTAGCCTGAAGGAACGAATACATCTTGGACGGCGAAGGTCCTGGGTTCGGTTCTGACCAGGATGTTTTTTTTTTCAAATGGGAAATTGTCAGCGAAATGGGAGACCATAGACACGAGGAAGTTTTCCAAGAGGCAAAAAAAAACCCTGAACAAGATCCCGACCGTCAATGAGGTTAAAGAAGTGAAAGACTCGGCACCCGGAAAAGATGGAGTGCGCATGAAGTACATCAGAAGAGCGAGCACAGAGGTTGTGGAAGCAGTTATAAATCTGGTCATCTACATGTTCAACGAGCGTGCGGACAAGTGGGAAGACTCGCTGAAATGTGGACAGATCATCCCTCTCCACAAGAAAGGCAGCCGCAATGACACGAACAACTACAGAGGAGTGTGCCTTCTCCCGATATCGAGTAGAATCCTGGCGAGAGTTCTGTCGAAGAGACTGCGTTGGTGGAGCGAGGAGCTAGGACTCTTGGACGAGAACCAGAGTGGGTTCAGGCCTGGCAGATCGACGCCTGATGCGAGCCAGATCATCATGCGAATCCAAGAAGACGTGACGGACTTGGTGAAAAGACGCCGGAGTGAACGAGCCGAGCGACAACAAGGACCCAGAGGCGCGCTTACTGGATCTGACAAAGGCTTACCCGAGAGTGAACAAGCCGGCTTTGTGGGAGATGCTGAGAAGATACGGTCTTCGAGGCGCTTTCCTGGAGAGCCTGATGGATCTCCACGAGTCTACGACGTACTGCATCAAAGGCAGAGAAGGTGATAGCGACACTTGGCACCCAGAGAGAGGTTTGAGAGAGGGCTGCCCGTCGTCCCCGTGCCTGTTCAACATCTACCACCAAGTTGTCATGCGTATCGCGGAGAGAGCCAGAGACGAGAGGGCGAAAGAGAAGAACAGAAGTGTTAGAGTTAGATGGCGCTGGATTCCAGGGAGCAAGTTACCAAACCCGGACAAAGTCGACAAATACAACAGCGAAGCTTCCACCGTTGTTTTCTCCCTTTCTATGTTCGCGGACGACACGACCCCCATTGGTGACACTGAAGAACTGGAAGATGGGGTGACAGCGATGAAAGCCGTGATGGAAACCTTTGAAGAAACGAACAACGAAAGCAAAGATAAACTCGAGTTTGGCAAAGAGGAGTCCGGAGAGACAAGGATGTTAGGAGTGTGGTGCGGACCGAAAGAAGATCTGAAACACAGAAAGAAGAGAGCTGGAGTGTTGTGGGCGAAAGTGAAAGCGCGGCTAAAGAACACCAAGATCACCAAGAAACAACAAGCGAGAGTGGTTGAAGCTTGTGTGGAGAGCGGGCTCCTGTTCGACGTGACGGTTAGAGCGTGGTACGCCTCCGACATCAAGAACCTGCAATCTTGGGTGGACAAGTGCTACCGGTACATCTGGAGCAACAAGAAACAGCCGGCACTGATCGAAATGCTAGATAAAGGCAAGAACATGCAAGACGTGAGAAACGAGCTGGGCGTGAAGTCGCTACAATGGAAAATCGAGAAAAGATCACTCCAACGCATCGGCCACATACTGCGCATGAGTGACAACAGACCGACGAAAGCAGCAGTCTTCGGGTGGTTGGAGAAGTTGGAAGGGAGACCGAAATGTCCCGGAAAGAAGAGGAAGACGTTACTATATTGGAAAAAGATCCAGAAAGAAGCTGGCATAGAATGGACAAGAGCAGACGAACTAGCAGCCGACAGAAAGACCTGGCGAAAGAAAGTAAACGAGAGGATGGAACACCTGGCAAAGTGGGAGCGCAGTCGTGGACACTTCAATGGCGAAGATGTGGGCCCCAGAAACCCCGCCCCAACTAAAGAAACCTCGACAATATGCGCCCAGTGTGACAAAGTGTGTAAGAGCAAAACAAGCCTCCGAATACACGTGAAACGCATACATGAAGACCCACAGTGTAGTTTTGAATGCAGGAAATGCAAAACCACTTTCAACACCGAAAACACGATGAAGAACCACATAAAAACCTGCGGGAGAAACCAACAAACCCGGAGGGGGTTGATAAAATGCCAAACTGCCAGAAAGAGGTCAGCAAATCAAACGCCGCGCGCCATAGAAGAACATGTCAAACGGAAGAGCAGACAACCGAAATTAACACAGAAACAGCAAGGAAATATCGGGCTAAAATGAAGATCTGTCCACACATAGAAGGACGTGCAAAAATCCGGAATCCCGAGGAGAGGGTATACCCTTTGATCCAGGGGTGAACACCTAGAAGAAGAAGAAGTAGTCTGCTTTTTTTCATGAGAAAATTTTCCGAACTGTTAAATAGCTGTTTCAACGGTTTTAAGTCTTTTAGAATCGTGAGAGCTTGTGTTCTCGTCATAGGAACCGTAAACAACTTTTCTTAGAAATGGATCTTGAATCCTTATGAAACTTCAGTAACATCCAGGCCCTTCGCACTTGGTCTCAAGGTAACGTGCGCGCCTTCGCATCTTTAGTTTCCACTGTTCGAGTCTCTGTCTTGGTTTTGTTATCCAGGTGTAGAGAAATAGTAATTTTTTCTTTAAAGAAAAAATTCGAGAGACTTTTGCTTGTCTGTTGTTGTTTTTCAAGCTACAGGCTTTCATTCGAAAGCATGGATCTTGAAATGAATTTTTCGAAAGGATTTTTGGAAACTGTTTTAGTTATCAATTAAAGATTGTTATTCCTTATTGATTGTTTTTCGTCATTGATATTTTTGTTCCGACCACTGAAAGTGAGGAGGAATTTTGTTATCGAGTGTGTTTAATTGTTTTTCCACTATAAATGAGGTATCTTGAATAATCATGGGTAATCATCTCTTGGGTCGAGTGATATGTCCTATTAAAGCCCTCTCAGTCGTGATACGGAGGTCATGAATTCTCCCAGTGTCGAGAAGAACCGGTTTGAATCTTTTGCTTTTCAGTCCAGTTCCCAGCGATTCCCTGGCAATAAAAAGACTGCTTCTTGTTTAAGTAATTTTCTGTAAAAAGGCGATTTTTTTTGTTCACAGGACTCATCTATAGTAGGTTTCTGGACTCATCTCTAGTGGTTCCTTGTTTCATAATGAATTCAAATTTTTGGTTTTACCGCCCTATTTAGCCTGAAGGAACGAATACATCTTGGACGGCGAAGGTCCTGGGTTCGGTTCTGACCAGGATGTTTTTTTTTCAAATGGGAAATTGTGTTTCAAATGAAATTATCGGCAAATTAACTGTCTGCTTATCTTTTGTCGGCCTGCGTGCCACATCTTGGAGTGTTTTTTTTTTGCTGTGCGCATTTTTTAACTAATGTTTTAATTGTTTGATATACTCGTGCAATTCGCAATAGTACTTGCATTGACTTCGTTTTTCATTTTTTTGTTTCACTTAAACACTTTATTCGGCCCAAGTTATTTCGGCCTATTTTTTATCGGCTTTTGAACTAATTTTGGTTCGTTTCAAAAAGGAACACGGTTTTTACGCTCCACTAGTACATTTTAATTTATTTAAAAATTTACAACTCGGCTTGTTGAAATTTCATTTTTTTTTTGCTTTTTTTCTGCCTAATAGGTTTTCGCTGACAAAAGATCGGCTTAGAGGCCTCTGTTTGAGTCGTGCAAAGAGAAAAAAGTTTTTTATCTAAGCATTAAGATAGATTGGAGTTTTTCCAATAAAAATAGATTTTTGTTCACATAAACGTGTGCCTGCTCAAGAATTATCGGCTTAGTAAGTTTTATTTCGATGCTCAATTTACATTTGGAGTTTTGATATTCGAAACATTATTCCTGACTTAATTATAGAAAAATTGTATTCTTCGATGACCGGAAGGATGAAAAAGTGCTACAAGCAAAAGGGCATAAATTGTTGAGGTCCGCTGTTTTTTGGTGGAAACTAAGTTTTCATACATGCGCATGAACTTCTGCTACCCCACTGTACTTAGGATTTCTTTCAGTGTCAAAAAGTGACCATCAAAAAGTTTTTTGGCCTGTCAACGATTGACATTTTTACACGTCTCGATACACCAAGATGTAAGAATTTAATTTTTTATTGCGTTGTTAGGGTTCATTTCTCATCTCTGATTCAAGATTAACTTCAAATTTAGTGGTTTACAATTTGTTTATCTTAAATCTACTTAGCTCCTATACGATTGTATAATTTTTTCAAGTCGGTGAACAAATTTCTGCCTAGAATTTGAGTAGACGTCATCACGCCGGCTGTAATAGCTGAAGATATGCCGCAAGTAGTGACATCCTGGCCCGTCAAGTAGAGTCCCTTGATTTCGGTCTTTGGCTTTACTTTCGACATCACGTCAGAACTGAATCTAGACAATGTGTGTTCTAGGCCGTAAATTTCCCCATAGTCTGTATTCAGGTAGTGGTTACTCGTGACTGAAGATCCCAGGACGCATATTTCGCGTTTGTCTTCCAATTGAGGATATAGTTGAAGAATCTTCTCCCAGATCTTCTGAGTGAAGGCTGTCTTGAGAGCCTCATACTGCTCGCCTCGCTTTCCTAGCGGGAGGTGGTTCCACATTTCAAACCACTTGTAAGGCACTAGTGTTATGGCGACACATGTGCTTCCGGCATTGTTGTTGTAGTCGTAGTTTCCGTCTTTAGCCGAGGGGAATCCGACGAATAGAAACGGAAGCGACATTTTTTCCATGGCCTCATAAGGATCTTCGTATCCCATCCACTCGTTGTAAACTGCATCAAAATCAGCACCATGGACAACCCAATTGTTACAAGCAGGCAGTTTCAACTGGGCTGAAGTTTCTTTGAAACCGATAAACAAATTCAAGTAGCTGGCACTTGGCTTCGTTTTGTTAAGAACTCGGTTCATATCTGGACATGATTTTTCAGTTATTTCACGTGGGATCAATTTTTGGAAGGTGTTGAGAACACCAGCTCCAGAGACCACTTTTTCAGCCGTGAATTGTACCTTGGGACCTTTTTGGGACTTAATTTCGACACCGTAGGCCTCAAGTTTGCCTTTCTGGTCTTTTCGTAGGAGAATCTGACTGACATTGGCCTTTGTGTAAAATTGTCCTCCGCTTTCACGAATTGTTTTCATCAAGTAGTACGGGATTATGGCTGGTCCATTCCGCGGGTAAAATGCTCCATATTTTATGTAATGCTCGTTGGCTCCCATGCACATGAAGAATGGTGCTTGTTTTGGCGGTGCTCCGAAGTCGCCCCATAGGTAGTTGAAACATGCTTGGAGCTCGATGTTTGAAGTTAAACTGGACACGACATCGTGAGCGCTTCTCTCGAAGTACATGTGAAACTGTTTCACGGGACTGAGAAACCACAGTTTAAGGAACAGTTTTGAGAACCACCGTGGAGTCATTTTGAGAATCCCGAAGCAGATGTCCGCGCCAGATGCTTGAGTGAGGAGCTTCTCAAAACTTTCTATTGCTTTCAGCTCTGTTGGAAATGTTTCTAATAGAGATTGTTTCCACATCGCAAATCCAGCGTAGATTGGAAACTTCTTGAAAGATTCTGGTCCAGTTCCTAGTACCAGCTCATCGTAGACGGAGCTCATTGGATCCCACTGTATTTGTCCATTGGACAGCTGGTCCAAAGCACGGCTAGCGAAACCTCGGCCGTTCATGTTACCAACGTAGTGTAGTCCGGTGTCAAACTCAAAGCGGCCTTCTTTGAAGGTGTGACAGCAGCCACCCAACTTGGTGTGCTGCTCCAGTACCAGAACTTTCCGCCCTACAATTGAAAATTTTGATAATACCGTTTTTCTTAATGGGGATTTATACAGGGTTTGAACTATGATTTTCTCGGGACGATTTTCATTTAAAAACTCGAAATTTAGTCGATTTATTCTTAGTTCGACCGAATACATTTTCTGAGCTCTCCCGAACTCGATGTATCTAAAGAAAAAGTAACGTTGTACAGTAGATGCTCAAAGATTTGGAGACTCTGATAAATGTTTAGTCAAATGTCCAAATGTGGGGCTGACCTGCTTTTGAAAAGTGTGGCAGCTGTAGTCATTGATCCCAGACCACTGCCAATGCATATGACGTCATAATGAGTATCGATTACGTCATCCTTTCCTGTAGGAAGTGGATTTTTGGAAGCTGTTTTCTTGTCTGACGGTTGCACTCGAGACCTAGGAGGGGGCTTACGACTGTCCAGTGCAAAAGGGTTGTCCTTCAGTGCACCTGCTTGTTTTTGTTGCTGTTTGCGTGACCTGTAGCTTTGTACTGCAATCACGGCCACGGCTGCCCCACATGCACAGGCAGTCGCTTTTTCTGAAAAAATACTATCTTGATCAACAACAGCAGCACAAATTCTTCGTAGTTTTCCACTAGCTGCTCTTACTCACGGATAATAACGTCACCGTAACAAATTACTGTTCCGGTTTTTAAGTATCCTGACTTTTTTTGAATGCATGAAACAAATTGCTTACCTGTGTTTGTTTCAATTTGAAAAAATCCCTTCGATAACCGCTGCCTGCGTAATTTTAGAAGGATCCTGCTTTGAGTACTGTGTAATTAATATATTTTCACGGTTCGGTTTGGTTTCTCTTCGTCAATTGATTTAACAATGTCCAAAGTGCATATTGTAAAGATCCAATAATTGTTTATTAAGTCGAGAAAAACTATTCTTTATAATCTTTACAAATATATGGTTTGTGTCAGATGATAAGATAGCTTGCGATATCGATTGTCGAAGAAACTTGATGGTGTAACTTTCTCAATTGAATTGATGTGTGGCGAATACTTGTATTTTACTTTGAATTAAATGCGTTGGATTCGCATAAATGTCAAATGTATTTTTTTTGACTGATTTAGTAATTTTTTATTTCTTAAGCATGCATTGCGAATGGAAAATAACGTTTAACGAACCAACAAGTAAAATGTTTGATCAGACGTGCAATGTAAAATTCGGAATGTGTGCGTTGAAAACTAGCACATACAAGTATATACCAACTAACAAACCAGTGGTGCACGTATAGTTGATCTACGTTGGCTGTTCCAATTTGCAAAAGGTATAAAATGTGAAGTATGAAAATTTAAAACCGCCTAAACAAATGCGCTGATAAGACAATGAAACAGAAATAATGCAAGAAGTCAACCGCTTTTTGATCTATCTGACCGCGCTTACTGTTTTAGAATTCTTGACGAAAGTCGAAGGATCGTTTTTTGGCGAGCATGTTTGTCATCAGGTTATGACAATCGTGAAATATGCTCGAGCGCAGGGGCGGATTTGGGGGGGGGGGGGGATGGGGGGGGGGGGGGGCAGACGCCTCCCTCTTCAGGGATTCGACCCCCTGCCGACCCAGAGGGTCCCCCCCTTTGGTACTTTTTAAGAAATCTATCTTTGGTCGACCGACCTTAAATTTTTTTAAAGGCGCCTTGGGCGCCAGAAAATGCTAACTTTGAGGGGGAGCGCGCGCCAAAAAAAAACGCGATTTTTTTGTCGAAAATTTCCAACAAGTGCCCAAAAACGGCTTTTTACCTGTTTTTTAAAAAAATTTCCCTGCGGCGCAGAAAATTTGACAAATTATTGTCTTCTTGATGTTTTAGGAGAGCTCGGAAAATCAATTTTGTCGACCTAAAAAAAAGGTCAAAATTTTCGACATTTTTTGAAAATCCGCCCCGCCCCCCTCGAGAAAATCTTAGATCCGCCCCTGCTCGAGCGTGTAATTATATTGAAGAGGTGCATTTAAGATTTTCGCAAGATTCTAAATTTAAAAGATTCTAATTAAAGAGAAATGCTCCTACGCCGAGGGTATTCACTCAATGCGTCTCACGCATTTCCCCTATCAAGTTTGTTGGTACATTTCACCACCATATAATAAATGCAATCGTGTCGCGTGCTTCGCAGTGCAGAGTTATGAATTGTATTTGAAAGCGCGTTGCTGCTTTGAGGAGAAAAATAATTGAAATTTAGTATGCTAAATGGTTAAAATTAGGGCTGAAATGTGTGGAAATATTAAGAGCGAGATATCATTTTGCCTTGCGAGATATCAGTTTTTAATTGAATCCATTAAATCCATTTATCATAAGATTCCACGGGCTAATTTAAGATCCTCACCCCCTTCACCCATCTGCAACTTGTCAACGTTACGGTTAAAATCTTCCTTCTATGAAGTGTTATTCAACGTTAAACATAGTCATTTTCTCACCTCATTTAGATTGCCTAGAAAAAGTTACATGAAGGCGGTTTAAATTTTTCCTTACTAATTGTATTTTAACCTTGTGTGATAAGCAAGGTTGTAGCAACCGGGTAGTAGATCTTTTCTCGTAAATAACTTTGTTCGCAGAATGGCCAAAAGATGATTTGGTTAGTTGATTTATGTATCAACTATGTGGCGAATATGCTATATTGTTGAAATTGCGTGCTTGTTATAGATGAGCCGACAGACCTGAAACTGATGCCCAATAATATGAAAAGTAACCAAAAAAACTCCCATTGGCAGCGCCTAGAAAAACTCACATTGCAAGCTTGCAATGTGAGTTTTTCTAGGAGCTGTCAATGTGAATTTTTTGGTTAATTTTCATAGTATTTGACATCGGTTTCAGGTCTGCCGGCTTTATCAATTTATTTTTGATCATATCGTATGATTTAACTCTGGCAAAAAAATTTGAAATGAAATTCTTCGAGTCTAATTACACAAACTAGAAAAAAATATGAAAGTTTTTTTTAAAATGTTTTCCGTCATTTCAATGCTCTTAAATTTTAGCTTTTTCTGAAGTTTTTCTGAAATACTCCTGCGTGGCTTGCGTTGTTCCTTCGTTGAAGGCAATTGAAATCATTATTTTATGCGCAATTTTGTTGGTATAAGTTTTCGATCAGATTGTTTTGGTCAGCATATTATTTTACATTGGTCTCATGTTTTTCCTCAGCATTTTGTTTTATAAGCTCTTCCCAGCGTTTTTTTAAACGATGATTTTTGAATGATAAGATAGAGATTTTGCAAGCCTTAGATGTAATCAAATCTAAACATGCTTCTTTCATATTTTTGGCTTTTTTCGTGGTTTGACTTTGATTTATTAGGAGTAATGAACGGAGTGAAGATTCTTATATAGGTCTTGTTGATTTTTGTTTGTTTTTTTTTCAGGAAAAAGTCTTAAAATATTGATTCACTTAGGTATAATGCATTTTTTGAGTTCAATTGAAATTCATCTGCTGAAAGTGGCGTAATTAGCACTTTCCAAATACGATTGTGGAAATGGCGCGAAAAAAACGTTAACGATTTCTAGTTTCGAAAGTGGATTTAATTTTAGAGATTTCCGAGCAGAAAAAATTTTTTACCTATTGGTCCAGTTTTCTCAAGTTGGGTTCATGTTATCAAAAAAGTGCCTATTATAAATTGATCTAGAAATTCAAAGAGCTTAAAGGACATCTATTTTTTCATTGAAATTCGAAAGTTTTTTCTCCTCTTCGATTTTTCAACTAAGTCAGTTTTTTATGTTTGCTTGCGTTCATTACTCTTTTCCAATCTTCGATTGGCTATGGTAATTTAGTTTAGTTCATTTCATTTGTTACAAGAAACACAAATTCCACTATCGAACGTCTAAATTTTAAAGGTCGCGAAAAAAGTGATCGACTAGTTTCGAATATGGAATTTAATTATCGAATTTCCCAGCAAAATAAAAATTTTACCGATTGGTCCAGTTTTCTCAAACTAGGTTTATTTTATCAAAAAGGGCCAATCATAAATTGTTCCAAAGAGCCTTAAGGTCATCTAGTTTTCCTAGAATTTTGAAAATTTTTCAAAATGAAATTTGTTTTTGTTTGTTTGCGACCATGGCTTTTTCCATTTGTCTGTTGGCTATGTTATCAGTTTTTGTTAGTTTTGTCTTATTTTTTCCCGCTTAGCTGCCATGTTATGTTTGCTTTGCATCAGAAGTGCTGCGAAGCTCTGTTTTGCCTCTGGGTTTCAAGTTCAGTTTAATTTGGAATTCAATTCAAATATGCTCTTTAACCAGAAAATCAAAGGCTTGAAGATTGAGTATTAATTTCTTTTAAGTTCAGTTCGTTTACTTTGTTGAAAGGAAGGCAAACTCCACTATCGAACATCAAAACTGTCATTGTCACGAAATTCTACCTAGTTTCGAAAGTCGAATTTAGTTTCAAGATTTCCCAGCGAAATAAAGATAAATACCTGTTGATCCAGTTTTCTCAAATTGCGTCAGTTTTTATCGAAAAATTGTCAATCATAATAAATTGTTCTTGAAATTCAAAGAGTTTTAAGTGCATCTACTTTTTATTTGTAAAATTCGAAAGTTGAAACTTTCAAAAAACAAGTCACTATTTTTTGTTTTCTTGCGTTTATTGACTTTTTTCCAATTTTTTGTTGGCTATGTTTTATAGGAAAAGTCTTAAAACTTGTCCACGCTGAAATCTGATTTGCCGGGGTTCGACTTTTAATTGTGTTAAAAAAGTCTTAAAGTTGGTTCAGGCTCCATTCATTTCTTCGCGGTTTGAATATTGATTTATTTTAAAGTTCGTTTTTTTTGCTTCATTAAAAGGAAGGCAAACTCCATTTTCGAACTTCAAAAACTGTTAAGGTCACGAAAAACATACTTGACTGCTAGTTTCGAAAGGAATTTAGTTTTGATTTTTTCCAGCGAAATAAAAATAAATACCTATTGATCCGTTTTTCTCAAATTGGGCCATTTTTTATCGAAATGCGTCTCATAAATTGTTCTAGAAATTCAAAGAGCTTTTAGGGCATCCAGTTTTTCTTTAAAATTCGAAAGTTGAATTGTTTTTTAATTTTTCAAGTTAGTATTATAAAGAGTTTTAAGGTGATATATTTTTTCTACGACCTCGAAAAGTGAAATTTCATCAAAACGATTCAGTTGTGAAAGCCGAACAAAGGATGCCGTTAAGTAGTTAAGGGGACCGGGTCAGAATCGGGCGGTGACCGCTCGACTAGTATAAAATTTTGAAAATATGAAAATGTATCGACTAGCATAATTTTTTTTAGCAATATTTCTCACTAATACCAACAACAACATTAATCTGTTCAATTTGAAAGATGAATTTCCGAGAAATATAAATTTGAGCAACTGAGAAACTAAGCAATCAACGAGCAAATGAAGTTCTTTTTGTCACATAAATTGTGATCAGTCTCACCTGAACCTCTAATGGATTGAACCGAACACTGATCGACGCGAAAATTGTGAAGCGTGCGAAAAAACTAATGTACATATAAGTTATTGTGTGTAGCGATTTTAATTTTGACTATAAATGAATTTTTCGTTTCGATTTTTATACTAGTCGATACGATTTTCAATTTTAAATATTTAACGCTAGTCGAGCTTTATGCTAGTCGATACACCGCTGAATCCAGCTTGCGCTTTAATTTGATCGAACTCCAGAATGAAAAAAGTGCAACGAAAAAACGCTAATGCGCAGTGTGATATCGATAGCCTTCTTGATAATTTTTTGCTGGTCATGGTCAGCTTAAAGTCCGTGAAATAATATTTGGTCTCTTGTTTTGTACCAGAAAGAGTATAGAGAGAAGGAAATGTCTCTGAAGGCAGTTGAGTACCACTTGTACGCTCTGCAAAACCCAGGTAACACAGCGAAGCACCACTAACCTACACCACACTGTGTTGTATCAAATCAAATAACCTGTTTGCATCGAACGCATTCAAAATTTCATTTGTTTTTGAACCAGCCGAATGTGAAATACGTAATAATTTTTGCACTCTTTGTGTGTTGGATTTGCTACTTAACTGTTATCAGAATCTAGTCTTGGATTGTTGGATTGCTTAGCTTATCACGTCACCTAAAAAAAGAAATAAAACGTCAGATTGAAGAAAAAAGGGATCTTGTTTACTATCCCCCCATTGCAATGGGGGGGGAGGGATAGTTTATAAGGTACAAAAATCGTATACGCTTAACTGTTTAATTCTTTCTTTCTTTATTGGGGAGGGGGGGGGGGAGAGATTCGTTACAAGGTACCATAGGGGTGGAACTAGTTAACAAGATCCGGAAAAGAAACTCGCAATGAATCGAATCTTTGTCATAAGCACATCGAATCTTTGTCATAAGCACTCTTCAAAGCAGCTAGAAAATATCGATTCAGGCTTCATAAGTTCTTAAATCATGCTTGCTCACTGTCTGCTTTCATGGACCAGCAGGTGCCTTCTTTAACAGCTCTAGTCAGATTTTTACTAACTTACCTGTCCTCTTATTAGACTAGAAGCTGATTTTTGACTGGCATCATGGCTTTTTAGGCTGCAGCTATCTGGATTTCAACAATAGTTCAGCTTCGCTTCAAAGCAGCTTGTTCACTCAGTCCAATCCACCTCGCAGATCGATAGACGCACAATTTTCTCTACCCAATGGAGCAAAGAATGCCAGCCAGTGTTTGTTATGCTTTCCAATCTATTTTCTGAAGTGGTAGCTGTAGATACATAGGGAAAAATGTATTTTGCTGACGTTTTTAAGAGTAATGAACGTAGTGAAGACTCTTCTTAACTAGATTTTTCTGATTTTTTGTTCGTTTTTTTTCCAGGAAAAAGTCTCAAAATATTGATGCATTTAGATATAATGCTTTTTGTGAGTTCAATTGAAATTCATCCGCTGGAAGTGACGTAAATAGCACTCTCCAAATACGAATGTGGAAATGGCGCAATTAAACGTGAACGGTTTCTAGTTTCGGAAGTGGAATTTATTTTTAAGATTTTCCAGCAGAATAAAAACTTTATCTATTGTTCCAGTTTTCTCAATTTGGGTTCATGTTATCAAAAAAAACGCCTACGTAAATTGTTCTAGAAGTTCAAAGAGCTTAAAGGGCATCTATTTTTTTTCTTTGAAATTCGAAAAAAGATTTTTTCAAGAAAGTCAGTGTTTTTTATGTTTACTTGCGTTCATTATTCTTTTCCAGTCTTCCATTGGCTATGTTGAAACTGGTTTTTGAAGCTAAATTGAAGCTGGTTTTTTTGAAGTCGAATTGAAATTGTTTCTGCTTCTTAAAAGGTTGATTTGGAAAAAAATTTAGATTTTTCAGGGGAAACGATGGGTGAGTTTTTAATATCCCCATGAGCTCAACTGAGTGCTCTACATTGAATAAATTACTAGTTCTTAGAGAAAGTGAAAAAGTGAATTTTGGTCATACAGTTTTTTTTCTTTTTTTTGGTGGCTAAAAATTGAAATTAAATAGAAGTACAGAAAGCTTTAATTTCGATGAACGTTTTTTGAAGACAGTTTTGATAGGTCGCGATGGCTTTGATTTGGTTTTTTTTTCGTTGAAAACTCCACCATCGAACAGCAAAAGTGTAAAGGTCGCAAAAACTGTGACCGAGTTCTAGTTTCGATAGTGATTTTATTTTTCAGATTTTCCACCGGAATAAAACATTTACCTATTCAAGTTGATTTAATTTTATCAAAAATGTATCAATCATAAATTATTCCTGAAATTCGAAGAGCTTTAAGGCCATATATATAATATAAATTGTTGATAAAAAAATACATACATACATAGATTTTCTTTGAAATTTCAACTGTTTTTTTTCTCCCTTCTTGCGTTCATTGACTCTTTTCCAACTGCTTGTCGCATAGTTCTAAAATTGTCAATCTTAATTTGTTCTTCACCCTTGCGACAAGCTAGGGTATTGCAATCGAATACAAGATTTTTTCACCGTGAATAACTTTGTGATAACGGTGGTTTAAAAATGATTATCTAATCAGTATATTTCATACCGGCTACAAGGTTCCTGTACCGTTGTTTTGCTAATTATTAGCAAAGTTAATGTATAAGTAGAATATGTGCCGTTTACGTGAAGAGTTGTAAATCAATTTTTCGGATTCGATTTTTTGGTATATTTGTGTCACCGAGGTCGGTCGGCTTGAAGTTTGTCGGCTTGTTTTATGTTTTTTTCTCAATTAATTTTTGTTGTTTACTGTAGTTGTTGAAATCTAACGAGAAACTTTTGAAAAATTTGAATCACTTTTGTAAACCCTCCGAAGTAAAACTAAACCTAACAGTTTTTCTATTGTAATTTTTTGGTTTTTAGCTAATATGTACGTTTAACAGCTGTAAATTAACAATTCGTCTAGAGCTACTGAAATGGTACTGGGTCTCGATTGAATTATTACTATTTTTCGTCATACTCCATAGGGTAAGTAAAATGCATGTGATCTTAGTTCTTGTACACTCCCAAACTTCTTGTTAGAAAAGGAAAACCGAACTTAAAAAATTGATTGACAAAACTTCCAGCTTTTTTTCGGATGCAGAGTTTCTTGTTTTTTTTTTCTACTAGTGCTTGGAATAACTTTTCATGTTTTTTCTATGTTTACTGTGTTTTAGGATTGAGCAATTTTATTTGAAATCAATTCTTTTGGCGCAGGGTATTGTTTTATTATGTCAAAGTCCTTTCAAAATAATTTGAAATAAGTTTATTTTTTTTGCAATTTTTACTTGATTGTTTTGTTTTTGAAGATATGTGACAAACTTTGCACGAGGTTCAGGAGTGTGGTTCTTTCTTGTTGAAATTTTCTGAATTCCTTTTTTTTTGTACTTTTTACCTGGTTATTGTTTTTATTAGCCCCTGCTTAGTGCAGGACCAACCGTGGGGGAGGGGGAGCTGTCATCCATTTTGCCGCAGCCGTTTCCACCTTGAGTCAACTTCCCTGGTCAGCTTCTTAACGTTGCGTATCAACTTTTTTTGTTGAAATAATTGAAAATCATGCTTTCGTTTTTTTGTAGTTTTTTCTTTTATAATTCGTTTTGATCTTAGTTTATAGCAAATAACGGACAGGCCCTTTTCGGAATGTCAATTGTTCCTGTGGGACATGTAGGTTCTTTATTTGCAAGATTTAAAGCAAAGTTTTTGAGTAAATTCAGGTTTGGTTCTCGATTTTAAATCAAAACTTTTTTGTCGCTTCTATCTATTGGCTGTGAGAATGACATGAGTTGAAGTTGTGTTGCCCGAATCCTCATGTTCACATCTGTAATTTTCAAAATTAATTGCAATAATTGGTTTCTTGATTTGCGAGCCATCGATTTCTTTAACAGAGTTCATTCAACTTTTTCACGTTGTTTCAGACATATTATTTTTTGATATTTCTCAGTTTTTGATCACAAGTGTTGCGAAGCTCTGCTTAGCCTCTGTGTGAAGTTTTAGAGATTTGAGGCCAAATAGTTTTTTCTTTGAAATTTGAAATTTTTTTCTAAATTAAGTTCATTTTTTGACTCCTTTCATATGTTTGTTGGCTATTGACTCTTTTCATATGTTTCTTGGCTATGTTTCTAAGTATCGATAGAAGTAGTGAAGACTATTGTAAAGGTTGTGATGACTGCTTTTCTTTTTTTTTCCCGGAAAAGTCTTAAAGTTTGTTCGCGCTCAAATTTGGTTTTGCCCTCTTTGACATTGGATTTTTTTTTCAAGTTCAATTTATTACTTTGTCAAAACCAAGGTCAACTCCACTATCGAACAGCAAAAGTGTAAAAGTATTAAAAAAACGTGATCGAATTTTTTTTTCGAAATTGGATTTCAATTCACTGTAAAATAACTACTTTGCCTATTTTTCTATCAAATTTTAGCATTTTTCTTATCGGAACTGTCTTATGTGCACACGACGGAATTTGGACGGGTTTTGAAGAGACGATGAACGTAGTTCAGACTCTTATTTAGATCGCGATTTTTTTTTTTGTTTTTGTTTCGGGAGAAGACTTAAAACTTGTTCAGGCTCAATTTTATTTTTCGCGGTTTGACCTTGGATTTCTTTTGAAGTTGAGTTCGTTTCCTTTGTTAGGAAGGCAAACTTCACTTTCGAACAGCGAAAGTTAAAAGTTCACGAAAAACCTGATCGGTTTCTAGTTTCGAAAATGGATTGTGATTTTCTGATTTCCCAGCAAAACAGAACATTTTTCTATTTTTCTACTGTCTGTTGGCTATATTTAATCTTCAATTCCAATTGGGGTTTCTACTTTTCAATTTTTTGCTGTTTTGTAGAACAAATTAAGACAAGGATAATGTTTTGCTCGCTTTTTTATCAGTGGAAGACATAAAAATTTACGTTTTTTCTTTTCTGTCCCGCTGATTAATACTCAAAGTCAACGGCAAGTATTTGTTATGCATGTTCTGATAGTGTTTTCATTGTTCTAGATATAAATTGACAAAGTTAGTGTTCAAGTTTTACTTAAAATTGTGCTTGTGCTTGTTATATTTTTCATGCTCTTAGAAAAGTTTTTGAGAACTTTAACTTACGTTCGTTTTAGTTCGTGATCGCCTTATTTCGGAGCCGGGCAAGCTACAGAAGACTTCACTTTCTCGATCTCAGCCAAATATGCTGAACAAGGAGTCTACGAAACAATGGTTCCCAAAGTTTCTTATGTCTAAAGCAAGAAAGGAAAGCACGGGGTCAAACAAGTCTATTGACCGAAGTACAGACGGCGGTGCTTTGTTGAAAGCATCCATAAGCAAGTCCGATCGACACTTCCAAGCATCTGTTGGAGACAACTATTCAATTGACAGCGGTGTGGGATCTAGGGGCAGGACTGGTAGGTTAAAATTGATGGTAGGGCTGTGTTCAAAGAATCGATTGTCTTGGGTCGTGATATTTTTGAAAAAGATAGGGAGCTCTTAATGAGTCATTAGCATGAAAAACATAAAGGCCTTACTCAGATATTCTACAAATCTTCTATCAAAATCAGGGGCGGATTTAGGTGGGAAGGGCGGACGCCCCCCCTCCCCCCTCAGGGATTCGACTCCCTGCCAACCCAAAGGGTCCCCCTTTGGTACTTTTTAAGAAATCCTTTTTTGGCCGACCGACCCTGAAATTGGCTCTTTTTCCTTTTCCCCCCACCTCCCACGACCATCAATTTTATGGTGTAACGAGTGGTTTTACAAGGTTAAATATGAAGACCAAATGTGTTTGGCAAATCCTAATTAGTCCGCATGTCAATTTTCATAATGATCGGACAATGTGAACAGTAACTTTACTAGTAAAAAGTTGCAGGTAGGGGGAAAAGGAAAAAGAGCCCTGAAATTTTTCTAAAGGCGCCGTTGGCGCCAATATATACTAATTTTGCGCGCGCCAAAAAAACGCTATTTTTTGGTCGAAATTTTCTAAAAAGTGCATAAAAACGCTTTTTTTTGCACTGTTTTTTCAAAATTTTGCCTACGGCGCAGAATTTTCGGCCAAAATAAGGACAAAACAGTGCTTAGGAGAGCTCGAAAAATCAATTTGGTTGACCTAAAAAAAAGTCGACAAAATTTTCGAAAATTTTTTGAAAATCCACTCCCTCCCCCCCCCCCCCCCCCCCCCCCCCCCCCCCCCCCCCCACCCCCCCCCCCCCCCCCTTCAAGAAAATCCTAGACCCGCCCCCTGATCAAAATAGTTTTTTGATTGTGCTTGAGCGGTAAGAAGTGAATGGTAAATGAAAGAGCTGCTTTCAGAAAGTCCGTTCAACTCGGAGGCTCAATCTGTGCGTAGCACGCGGAGACCTCTGGGAGACAACACCGATACAAGCTCTTTGTGCAGCTCAACTCCTGGAAACGCCAAGATCTTCCGCTCGCCTTCTTCTATGAATAGGTCACCTGACGTGTCAAATAAAGAGCTCAACTCACTAGCTGGTGGAGTCACCTTGCCTCGATTTCGCAACAAAGTAAGGAAGTGAAATTAATTCTGATCATCAGGATCTTGATAATACAAAGCAACCTTTCCGCCAAAGATAAAATCATACGACCCTCAATTTTTTACAGACACTGTTTAGATAGATTAACTACAATTGTACAATTGTTTGTATTGTATCAGACCAATAAAATTTTGCTCGTAGTTCTAGCCAATGATAGCCAGCGAATTAACAGGTACGTGTAGGTAAGAGCAACCAGTGACTTAAAAATATATCCATTTTTTTAAAACTAAGTTTTCACGAGATTTTACCTTGAGGGGGGGGGGTATAAATGGGGAATTCATTTTTAAATCTAAAATATTGCAGCTTTGATTATCGATGTTCAATGTGGTACCAAGCCCGTGGAGGCAAGCTATTGTATACGAATTCAAAAGCTGCTAAGGTTATTCAAAGCAACCAATATGATTTTTGAAACAAATTATAGAATCAAAACCTGTGGTGTTTAGAATTTTCTTGCGAATTTGAGCGACCAAAACTCAACATCGGCGTTCAAGCCGAACAGATCCCTGCCTTACAAACCCCATCACCATTTTCAGACGCCCGTCAAATGCAACCCAGAAGTCATGCACCCTTCACACTGGAAAATAGCTACGCAGCTTCACGAGCCTTGCCGGGAGGCAATTTTGGAAGTGTCGCTTTGAAAACAGCGAAACATATTAAAATGGGATCGTCTCCACTGTACTCGTCGAATACTTCTTTAACTTCCAATGTATCTGCTAAGTCGGCTCCGGCGGTCAATGGTTCACCGAGCAGCCACGACTCGTCTCGCACTTCGGATCGTGTGTTTGCATCAGATGTCGACACCGTATCTCAAAGTTCGGACTGCTTACGAACTTCCAGTGCACGATCATCGTACAGCGCGTCAACTCCAAATGTAAATAACGTTGATTACAATTCTTCCCAGTTGCGAGAATCAGCATCGTTTGAAGTTTCAAACGAGTCCTCGATCAGCTCACGAGAAGAAAGCGAAGTTGTGAACTCGTATTCCGAAACAAATGCGCCTCCGAGGCCCCACAATTTGGAAGTTACAAACGATGATTCGAAACAGAATGGTGCTAAGTCTGAACAAAATAATAACAGAGTCAATATGACGGCAGAATCAGGAAATGACACGGATCATAACGTACATACCCCTATCATTGATTTATCGGCGCAGAAGCGGTTCTTGTATGAAACCCAGCTATAAGTGCCATATGTTTTGCTGGCAACTTGAATTTATAATGTAGAATTCGACTCCTGTTAGTCGTAGATAGTTTAAGTTTCCAATTCGTTGCTGAAGTTTTGAGTGGGCCCTAAGTTTATTGCTTCATCAGTCAATGATTTTGAACTCAACTCGTTCTTTTTTCGAAAGCGGCAAAAATAAATTTTTAATGAAATTTTTGAAGAAACTGAATTAATTTTGTGATTTACGTTAGTGTTTTTCCATGTTATGAATTGCTATTATTCCGAAGTTTTGTAATAAATTAGGCTTTCGTTTTTCTCAGCCAGCTTAAGCAGGGCCGGGTATAGAATTTTTATGAGAAAATGAACGGACTTTTCTTAATTCAACCAAATTGCTATTACGAACACTCGTAACAACTAAAAAGATCGTTTCTTTATTTTGCCAAAACATTTGCCTACTAAAATGTGCCAAAAATCCCCATCATTTATTAGGCGGCCAAAAATGGATGTTCAAGTGATCCTAAAGTAGAACTTCGAATTAGCAGTCATTTGTACGAAACTTTGAAATTGTATCAAACGGTTTGCGGTTAGAGTTTGCATAAAATACTGTGGTGTATTATTTGATATTTTTCCTGCTAAATTGTAAAAAAAAATTCCGTTCCCATCGAAAAAATGCAGATCCAATTTTTAGTTTGATGTTTTCGGAGCATTTTTGGTCTTTTATTGACTAAACATGTAGTTAAAAGAAAAACGAGCTTGAAAATAAATGCGAAAATACGAGCTTGAGAACAAATGTGAGAGCTGTTCAATTTTTTTTATCAATTAACCACCCCTCCCCCAATATGGTATTTACAAAAAAATCAACTCTCCAAATAAAAACAGTTTATTGACATTTATCTGTTGCATTTAGAGCTGTCAAGTTTTTGGAACTTTATTTTTCCTGCATTCTAACTTGTTCGCTAATTTTGATTAATTAATAGGGTACCGTGCAAAATTCTGTGCCAAACATTTTCCCCCTATTTTTGATTTATCGGCGCAGAAGAGGTTTTTGTATAAAACCCAGCCACAAGTGCCATATATTTTACTGAAATTATAATGCAGAATTCGACGCATGTTAGTCGTAGATAGTTCGAATTTCCAATTCGATGCTGAAGTTTTAACGGCCCCTAAGTTTCTTGCTTGAACAGTCACTGATTTTGAACTCAATTCGTTCTTTTTATCTTTTCAATTGCATTATTCGAATGCGGCAGAGAATATTTCTTGATGGAAAATTTCGAAGAAACTGATAATAGTTTATGACATACGTTACTGTTTTTCTATGTTATGAATTGCTATTAGTCCAAAGTTTTGTAAAATTTTAGGCTTTTGTGTTGCTCAAACAGCTTAAGCAGGGGCGGACATAGAATTTTTGTGAGAAATTTAGCCGACTTTTTTTTAGTTCAACCGAATTGCTATTAGGAACACCGGTGAACACTGAAAATACTGTTTCCCTATTTTGTCAAAACATTGCCTCTTGAAATGCGCCGAAAATGCCATCAATTTTTGGGAGGTAAAATATAGATGTTCAAGTGATCCTAAAGTAGAACTTCGAAAAAGCGGCTATTTGTATGAAACTTCGAAATTGTATCGAACAGGTTACGGTTAAAGTGTGCATATATTGCTGCGGTGTATTATTTGATTTTTTTTCAGCTAAACCTCAAAAAACTCCGTTCCCATCAAAGTAAAATTGAACCTAAGTTCATTGAACAGACATATAGTTGAAAGAAATACGTGCTTGAGAACAAATGTGAGAGCTGCTCAAATTTTTAAACAATTAAACAACCCTCACCATCCCCAACTATGATATCTACTAAAGAATCAACGCCTCCAAATACAGTTTTTTAACATTTAACTGTTGAATTTAGAGCCTTCAAGTTTTTGCGAATCTCATTTTTCCTCCATTCTTATTTGTTCGCTAATTTTGATTAATTAATAGGGTACCGTGCAAATGTGCGATGTGTCAAACATCCGAAAAACCAAAAAATGTTGCAAACATCCGAAAAACAGCTTTACCAGGGCAAACGTCCGCTATTTTCCAAAAAGTACGGCAATTATCTGAATTCTGCGGTTCGCGCATGAAATGATGTATTAGCCGAATTGATAGTGACCACCGCAATGGCGTCAACGGCAGTTAGCAGCGGCGTCAATTTTTATATAGAGTGCTACCAGTGGCAACAGAAGGTAGCACTCTAAATGAAAATTAGATGCGGTTATCGCCGCGAAGCGCGTCCACCAACGACCTTTAACCGAGAGACGGTTAAATTGGAATTTGATAATTGAACTATGTTTTGTGTTTGAAAATCTTAGTTCATATAATTACCTAATTATTGCATAACTTCGGATGTTTGACATATCGGATGTTTTCCCTAGACCCTAATTAATATACTTAGAGATTGCCACCCCTTTCTTGAAAAATTATGGAATCAGTTTGACACGGGGAAAATTTGGTACATATTTGTGTAGATCTATTTGACTTGATGCTTAAAATATGACTTGACGCTCAGATATATTCGAAGATTTGGCCGCGAGTTCATTTCGTTAGAGGCTGATTGTTCGGCGTTAAAAAAGCGAATGGACTTGTATGGTATTTTTTAATCCGTTATTGTCTCTCTTTGTGTCGCAGATTTTGCTAAGCTTCGCTTCGCCTTGAAAATTTGACATAGATACATAAAAGAAACAATATTCGGCAATGTGAACTTACTGATAGTCACTCGAGACCGAACAGCGAGAGGCTGCAATTGTTGGGTAGAATGGTTTTTCTTCTTAGCTTTGTTTTTTTTGCACTTTCTGGGACAATTGAGGAACACAATTTTCATGATTTTTCCTCGCCTTGAAATTGGTGGTATGACCTAAAACAACAGATTTAAAAAGTCTTTGAAGAATGCACGAGCTTAATGTGCATGCACAAAAATAAGGAAAAATCTTTTGAACCCTTGCACCTTCAGAGAATTCTGAAATTTTTGCGTGTCTGCACTAGAGCTCCCAGTTTTATAGACCCGCGTCTTGTCCTATTTTTTTTCGAACCTCAAAGCTCAAAACTGGTTAACCTAGTAGAATTAATTCCATGCCACTATTTTTGCGTAAGATGTGCGATTGCTTTGGTTTTTGAATTGAGCTGTAAGCCGTTGTAGGCTATTCCGATATATTTATGTGTTCAAATAACGGAGACTGATGTTGCACATATTCTTGCATAAATTATTTTTATACTGATCTGCAATTTGCAATTACTGTTAATGTGAATTATGTAAATATCTTCTTGACATAGTTCCGAAGTATGATCGTTAACATGTGTGAGATTTGTTGTTGCCAAACAAGTGCATAGCCATTGTCAATCTCCGATTCCATTTTATAACGGATAAGAGCATCAAGAGATAGTTTTTGTCATACTTGCCATTATTAGTTCTTTCTTCTGTTCAGCCTTCAAATATATTATTTCTTTATTTCCATAGTTTTTCCAGTGAGAATAAAATGAGGGTCCCTGAGCTCTTCTTTGTCAACAATAAAGATTTGGAATTTAGAAAAGAGACTCCCTGAGTTCTAATGAAACAGTGTGACGCAAATTTTGTAGAAAGTTCAATACAAGACTGATTTTCAAGATGAAATAAGTTATTTTTAATTTTCAGAAATCACAGCGGCATGAAAAAATTACTTTAAGAAAGAAAGAAAGCATTTATTTCTCCAGTTTATATTTACAGCAAGCAATAACACAAATGTTTGATCTAGATCTTTTAATTGGACTAATAGTTTGATCAAAAGTTTCAGTCATGAAGATCTTCGAAAGTATTTTAACTTGATGTTTTTTTCTCAAAAATTTAAATTGAAAATGTGGAAATATCTTTTTTTTGTTTCAATGATTTATTTGACACTAGATCAACCGTGCAATTCCCCCTAATTGATTAGGGGGGGGGGAATTGGATTTTTTTTTAGAAAAGAGCTTTGAGTATACCCTAGATTTATAAAAAAAATCACAATTTATTAGAGAAAAATGATTAAAAATACGTTAGATGAGGCTATTAACAGCATTCAAATGCAATCTCACATAAAAATTGTGGCAGCCAATTTGTGCGCGCTTTTGTTCGAAATGCAGACATATACAGAATGATTTTTCAAATTTAAAACGTGGCTAGGGGGGAGTTCTACGGTTGGTCACTTAGGGTGGGGGGAGATAGTACGAGTGATCCGACACTTTTTTTGAACTATATATTGGCTATGTTTACACAATCGGAGCGTAGTGTGTAGTGTGTTATTATTGGGCCACTTTTTTCCAAACTTAGTCGCAAGCATTGGTGGTGCTTTTGGTTGGCATCTTATTTTCCCAAAAGGGGTGGAAACACCGGCTGCTACCCTGTTTGCTGCATATTCCGCTAGTTTCTTTTGAAACTTACCCGGCGGCCTTATCTCTCCAGCATGAGCTTCTAAGCCCTTGTTGAATCTATTAGTCAAATCCAATGACGCCTTCTGCACATTAACTTCAGAAATAACTCCCATAATTGGGTTTCGATTCCTGCCGGGAGCCAATATTTTTCAAATAATACAAAGATTTTCTTCCAAAATTGCGATTGTCTGCTTATTTTGTATCGTTTTACTTTCATAGCATGAAATTTTAATCTGATTTAAGCAGCTTCGCTACAATTAAATCTAATTTTGTCAAATATTGATAATTTGTAGTGTAATTGTAACTGTTTTAAGTTTTTTTAATGTGTAAATTTTCGTTGGCTTAAGTGGTTTAGGCTGATGCTATATCGCTTTATTTGCCTCATAACACTTCGTTTGATGAGTGGTATAACGTTTTAGTCTGTTTATGCTTCCGGTTTCGAAATGTTTGCTAGCTTAAAATTTCTTGAGACATTTCTTAAAGTTTGTTTCGGCTCAACGCTTTGCCTGCCTAGTTAAAGCTTTAGAAATTTTGATTCAATTATATCAAGAAACACAAATACTAGTGTTAAATTATTAATTTAACGCTGGTAATTGTGGCTTCCGTTTTCTTTGCTTGGCTAGCTTCGGTGCTATTTTTGTTTGAATTTTGTTGAGAGTTTTGTTAAGTGTGAATTTAATTGAGTTTTCCAATGTTCATGGTGAGAAGCTTGTGCTACTTGCATAGAACCCTGTGTCTGTTATTGCAGATATAAGATGTTTGACAGATCAATCGAGTTGACAGTTTGCAATAATTGTTGTGCGCAGTTAACGACAGAACAAATAGAGTTGAAAATAGCACAGGAGTTCGAAGGTGACGTGGGCTGTGTAGTGTGGGATGCAGCTCTGGTGCTGGTCAAATTCTTGGAAACTATAACCGGTGAAATCTATCAAAAGCCAACCGAATCTCTTTTCCATCCAGCAAGCAGTCTGGACGGCGTTTCATTGGCTAAATTAAAGCTTCTGAATTTGTTCTTCAAGAAACGGCTTCACTTAGATCATACTTTAGATGTTCTAGAGCTAGGTGCTGGCACTGGAGTTTGCAGTTTCGCAATTGCAAGTTTAGTGAACGCAAAAATTTTCTGCACTGATCTAAAACAGTTTGAATATTTGATAAAACAAAATCTGCATGCTAATCGAAGTAATTTTCGATCGAGTTCTGAAGTTTTGACTTGTGAACTTGATTGGTCGGAATGCGACCAGTCCGATTTGAAAAATGAAAGTTTCGATTTAATCGTTTTATCGGACTGCATCTATTACGAAGAAAGCGTGGAAAATCTAGTTCAGACCCTGAAATTGTTTTGCAAGCCTAAAACATTAATATTAATGAGCTTGGAAGAGCGTTCAGAGAAAAAAGTTCTTGTCGAGAAATTCTGGAGTTTGATGGACGGTTCTTTCACATGGCACGAAGTTAGCTTAAACGAGCAAAATGAGAAAATAAAATGCGAAGAAATCCATTTGTTTATCATTTACAAAACACCTATTAAGTCATGTGTCGAATGACCTTTTTGATGTCGAGTTTTCATGGAAATTATGACAGTTCTTCTGGAACCTCGAATCTCATGATCGTACTAACATTTGCTAAGCCGTTTGTTAATAAATAGAAAATTGCAAAATGGAGCTCTAATTTTATTTGCGACCTTGGGGCGAAGCTCATTTGACCTTGTTTGAACTAGTGAGCGGTGAGGAATTGGACGGTGTGGAATTGGATCTGATGATAGCTTATGTCAATTCAATATATAGAAGTTTCAGATCAAAGAATTTAAGAAATTTCAATGACAAATCAGTTTATTTTCTTTTGATTGCTTCAGGTCAATGTCGCATTTTGAAGCGGTTAGCGTGTTAGACGAGTATTCGTTAATCTTTTTATCGACTGCGTCTCAGCTAGTAATGTTATCATGCCTGCATTCAATTATGAAAAACGAATTAAAAGCGTAGAAACAATACGGATCAATAGCAAAATGTTACGACAACAGTTATCTTGTCAAAAATCTAACAAACAATGAACAAAAGTTTTTTTCTAAAAATCGGCTTTAATGTTTTTGGGGCAGATAGTTGGCTCTCAATTAATCTTCCTGAGGAAGTTTTTTTACCTTGATAAACGTGAATAGTAAATATTGTCGCAAAAATGCCGTGAAAAATGATGTAAATTCCACTGTACGAAACGTATCAATTTTTATCTCGAGCGATCAAAAACTGATTCAAGATGGAAGGAGTTTCAATGTAATAACGGACTAGTTGATTCGACGTTTACTTGATCTAATACTTCAGTTTGCGTCCAACAAAAAGGCCTGAAAAAAAGCTAATTAGCCTCCTGCTGTGCAGATTTCGTCCTAAAAAGCAGAATTTTTTACAGAGCAATAATGGAGCAGAATTTCAATCATACGGCAGAGCTTACGAATTTTTTTTTGAAATCTTTCAAGAAAACGGAAGTAGATTACTAATTAGTAGAGTCGTGCTTTGGTGCTTATTTTTTATTTCTGCATTAATTTTATATGGGGGCGTTCAACAGTGCCGAAGTACAACAGCGGCGAAACAGAAGAAAGTGTTCAACAGTGCCGAAAATTATTGGTTTTCGGCTTTGCTGAACAACATTTGTATTTTCGGCACTGTTGAACGCCCCCTCCAAGGGAAGTAGAACAGTGCCGAATTACAACAGTTTCAAAAAATAAAATGGTGTTTAACAGTACCGAAGCAGTACAGTGTTTAACATTAGGGGTCCCGCAGCAAAAATTTTTAGGGCAGACAAGCAAGTTTTTTTTCATAGAGCTGCAGAATTTGCTCTATATAGGAGCAGACTTCTTTTGAGCCTGAACCTCTCTAACTTAATAAACCAAAGTAGTTTGAAAGCAAGTTGAATTGATTTGTTTTATTTTTTTTCTTTCGAATTGGATACCGTGATTGGACAATTTTGATACAACAGACTTGATTAGTTACTTCTCGCTCTCAGAATTTTTATGTCTGTGTGAGAAAAAGCAAAAGTTGGACGGTGCGCGCTTAAAGGTTCCAAAATAGAAAAACAGTAACGTAAGTTCCAAAATATAATTTCGGTCGCATAAGAAGACCCAAAATACATAATCAGTCCCATAAGTTCCAGAATAGATTTTTTATATACAATTTCCGAGGCTCAGAAATTGTGCCTGTGAGACATGTGCCTGTGAGACGTTGCTTTTTTTAAATAAGTTTTGAGAAGTTTTCGGTATTGAACCAGCCATCTTTCCGCTAAGGAGGCCAAAAACTAGTGGCAGACAGCGTTCTTCTTAAATCCGCATAGCGCCGAGTTGTTCGAATGAGGGGGCACTGCAATTAATGTCTGTTTTAATCAATAATATCAAGTTTTTGTCGGATGCAGAAATGGTAACTCCTCAATCCACGTCATTTGCTAGTAAAAACTCTGAAGTATTAAACGCCATTTTCTGGATATTTCGGACGTACTTGTTGGTATTGGAGGTGTAATTTCCGCCAGGGCACGATAGAGACTTGATTTGATAGAACTGTAATCGAGTACGACGGACGTACTCCATTCGAGGGCGTCGTAAATCTTTCTTAAAAGATTTGTTGGATCTCGTTTGGTAGCTTTCTCACTTTTTTCGAAATTTTTCCATGGGTATAGCAGTGTTTTTGTCGTTATGATTGTGCTCACCGGAAATCATGTGTTATGATTGTGCTCACCGGAATTTTTGTCGTTATGATTGTGCTTACCGCTTTCGAAGATTTTGTTCTGATCATATATCGGTAAATTTCGTTTTAACTATTTTTCGAAGCAAAATTATTTTTCCAAACAAAATCAAACAAATCAAAACTTAATTATGTTGAGAACAAATAAGTGTAATATATTACAATAGGTTGTATTTTTTGCACGTATAGTGCACGTATTAAATTTGAGCACTATATTGCATAATATAGGCATTCCATTTTCAATCACTTGTACTAAGACTAGTTTTTGTGAATACATTACTCTGCCAAATGAAATGCTTATTCAAAATTTCACAATTTTCTCATCTTTTGCCTAAAAATTTGGCTTTTAAATAATTTTTAATGAATGTGCAAAGTATAAAAAAAAGCGATCCAGCTATTGAAATTGAACCTTCCACCTATTGTAATATATCACCCAAATAAGTTCTCGGCTGTAAATCAAAGTTTTTGAAACTTTATTAAACGCTTCTTCGGACTTAAAAGTTCAAACGTTCTGTCAAATAAAACAAAAAATGAAAAACCTTAAAAAATATCTGGAGTTTAAAATAAATCAAGTGATTGATAATGCTCTAAGAAGTTTTTAGTTCCCATCCTCATACCACACGCTAACTTTCTTGTTGCATACGGATTGAGATATGTGTTTTTCTTCAGTATTGATTTTGATTGTCTTTGCTAGCTTTCCTTCTGAGATAACAGCTTATCGCGACCATATCTTCAGACGTGAACTTCAGCTTATCCTTACCTCGACGGTGCGAGCAGGACAGGTCTAGTCATGTTGGATTACAGTTGGTTGTTATTTTGAGCAGTATCTGCTTTTTAGCATTCATTTTTATCATGAGTCTGTTTGTGCTTTTTGACATGCATGAGAATAGCATAGTGATTTCAGCTGAGCCTCAGTTGGAAACAGCCCTTTGTGCAATTGATATGGCATCAAGGCTCACATATTGAAAAAATATTATGTACGAACCGATGGTCAATGTTCTGAATACATAATATGTGATTGTAGTCGTGAACAGGTTACATAACTTATTGGTCTCTGTTACGCAACTTGATTTGATCAGCTCGTTTATTGTAGTCTCGTATAAACCAGAGTTTATAAGAGAAAAATCAAACATTTGGTTTCTTGTGAACTTTGTCTAAGAAATGTGATATGGTTGTCGTCAGTCGAGCAAACACGACGAGTTATTTGGTGTGCAAACTTCACTTCTCGTCCAAAACAAATACTGATTTTACTAAAGTCGTAATTTAATTACTTAGTAATTTTTTTCGCAGCTTTTGATTTACTTTGAACGCCTTTAGATCTGATACCAGATTGTTGTGGAGTTATTTTGACAGCCGTACTTGATTTAGATATTTAATTTGACTACTCTCTCTCTCTCTCTCACACACACACACACAAAAATGTTAATTACTATCACAAAACTTTGCATTTTGTAATTATCAAAACAATAAATTAAATATCTTATGATTTCGATAGTATCTAATTAGCAATGTCTTACCAGGGTAGACGTGTGAGTATTTTAACTATTTTAACCCTACAATGTTGTTAATCAAAAGTTTTCGACACAAGTTTTTGCTTTTTGATGATAACATTCATACTATCTCATCTATTTTTTTTTGAATTGTTCAAAAGTCTTCCCGGATTGTGTGCGCGAATTCTGTGCACGGTTAATTTTTTGGGCAAAATAATCAATCGTCTTATTTCGGCACGAGGCTGGAAAATTTATGTATATATTTAAGAACAAAGCAAGTTACGCAAAGCTGGAAGTACAATCATGCAGTCATATGGATTTTTGACACATGCTCCAATGATTCCATTTCCAGTATGGTAATTGTCACAGCTAATTTAGGTTCCAACAATTGTTCCACTATTAAGGAAAATTCCATAAGGCAAATTATACAAAGAATGAGGCACAATTTTGATTTTTAATAGCCATGAATCTACAGGACGAATTTGAACAGGTAAGTTCAATGTACAAACATATCGATTTTACATTGATTCCTTGGACACGAAACGTTTTAGGAGATTGTTGTTTCTAGCAAAATTAAGGTTTTAACTCAGGATTATCAGCAGTTGAAATTAATTAGATGCTATTTTAATTCTGTTCTTTTAGACTGGAATGTCTAATGTGGAAGTGAACATCGGGGGAAAGTTTGCATACCGTCGAGATCACATCATAGGACATGGCTCATTCGCAATCGTGTTTAAAGGACGCACCCTCAAAGAGGAGTCGAAGAGACCGGTGGCTGTGAAACACATCAACCAGAAGAATATCAGCAAGAACCCAAAGCTGCTGCAGCACGAGATCCAGATCCTGAAGGAACTCAAACATGCCAATATTGTGCAGCTATTTGACTGCTACCAGGTACACTCGTTTGTTATCCTTATCTTAAATCTGTAGTGAACTGTTGATCAAAATGGATAGGTCATTGTCAGAGGTGATTGTGAGTAATTAGTCAACGTTATTTAGACCTTTCAAGATACTGGACCGTCGGCCAATTATCCGTCAGTTGCGTCTGGCGATGATCTCGGTTTCCTTTTTATTAGAACATGAAATTTGCTACCATTGAAATTGTGAAAGCAATCATGTAAAATTCTTCAGAGAAAATTATATGCATGATTTGAATGTTTTAAGATCATTTATCCACGGGGGAAAGGACCAACAGAAGAGCTGTACAGCTCATCACGGCGAACCGCTGTTGTGCCCCTGTTTAATTAGGACAAGTCTGTTTGATTTGTATTAGGACAAGTCTGGAATCCACCTTGTCATGGAGTGGTGCAATGGAGGTGACCTCATGGACTACTTACAGAAGAAAAAGACTCTGTCGGAGCCAGTGATCCGAATGTTCCTCAAACAGATAGCAGCTGCCCTCAAACTCCTGGACGAAAAATTAATCGTGCATCGAGACTTAAAACCTCAGAACCTCCTGTTGGCTTTTGACCCCGCTGTCAAGAGTCCATTGCCTGAAGATATCCGGATCAAAGTGGCGGATTTTGGGTTCGCTAGACATTTGGAAATTGATACGATGGCGGCAACGTTATGTGGGTCGCCTATGTACATGGCACCGGAGGTCATGATGCATCTCGAATATGACTCACGCGCTGATATTTGGTCAGTGGGAACTATTGTCTACCAGTGCTTGGTTGGCAAGGCCCCGTTTATATTCCCGAACCCACAGAAACTGAAGTCGTTTTATGAGAACAATCCAAACCTAAAGCCAAACATTCCAGAGAATGCATCTCAGTCTCTCAGATCACTGCTTCTGATGATCCTGAAACGAAACCAGGACGAACGATGCACGTTCAAAGAGTTTTTTGCCCATCCGTTTTTGAGCAGCGATGCAACATCCAGCCAAATTCCTCAGCGTCACAGAATAAACATCCAGGGAAACACAGATGCCTACCAGATATACAGCAAAACTGCGCCTCAAGAGAGACAGATTGCTATTGAAGACCATTGGCCTATCCGCAATTCAGGGAGCCCTGTATTGGGAGGTTTTGGAGGAGGAGGAGATGCTCATCAGTTGGGACAGAATGTGATCTTCACGTGTGGCCAGAGTCCGCCTTCTGGAACTTCGCCTCTGGCAGCTGGAGTGCAAAATTTGAGGATGAAGGAATCCGAATGTGAGGAGTCCGTCAGTGTTACTTCCAGTGGGGAATCGGCAGATCAAGTCATAACTCATGTTAGTACACTGGACACATTTCCCATTTTTCAAAGGTTTGAAACCTTTAAGTAAGTTTCAACCGAACGCTGGTTTGAAGAACAAATCAATATCATGATGTAGTGTTTCACTGTAATGCCTAAGTCATGACCAGAAGGAAGGAACTCAAATTTTTATTGGTTCGGATTTGTGGAAAAGATAGCCGATTAAATGAACCTTCCATGCCTTAGAAGGGTTGATAATGAAACAAAAATTAAGGGGTCGAAACCAAGGCTACGTAATTGCTTTAATTAAGCGGCTCTTGAATTGCGCTTCAAAGTTTTCCACAAGATTAAAACTGGTGGCTGAAAAGACTACGGTTCATGCAATCTCATGATTAACAAGCGAAGCTGCACTTAGCAAACACGACCGAGAAAACGGTAACAAGTAGTTCTAAAAAGGCAAAACATATAAACGGAAATAAATGGTTAAAAATAAGACTTAAAAACTTGTGCTAAATGCCGGATTCGAACCTACGACCTGGAGACTAGGAGTCTCACGTCCTCACACTATTTAATGCACTATTTAAGGCAGCAAAGTTGGCATCCATCAAATGAGCATTTTAATTTGGGTTGAAAAAGCGTGGATCCGTAATATAAAACTACGCTCGCTAGCTTGATTGAGTAATAAAGTAACTTTCTGTAGCTGGGGGAACAATGTTAGAAGCTGCTATTTGGTACTTGATATTGCTCGTATTGTCTATCAGGACGAAGATGAGTATGGACAGAATATGTCGTCTACTATAACAAGTGACCTGGACACACCGGAGGGATTTGTTCTTGTTCCAAGCAACATTGATCAGTTTGGTCGAGTCATCAAATCATCCAGTCCCGAGCGGCCGCAGTTTCCACACGAGAGAACTCCAAGTAATCCCAGTCCTCAAGCAACCAAACAGTTACAAACAGCAACAGCGGGGGAGAATCCATCAAAATTCTATGCAGCTACCCTAGGGCACACACCAGTGAAGTCGCCATCGAGCAATAATCCCAGTGCACTTCAGAGGCCGCTTGGAAGTGTGAGTCCAATCGACCGGCATCGCATTATAACCGACTCGCAGGGGGTAAAGTTCATCGTCGGGTCACCACCCCACAGTCCGGCACCTTCCCCGACCATTGGAAACACGACTCCAGGGCAAAATATGGCACCGGTCTTCAACCGCGCGAATTCGCTTTCTTCGAACAAGCAGTTTTTCTATCCACAAGCAAAACAAACGTTTGATGTGGTTTCACAAGGGTATGGACCAGCACCGCCGGTAACTTTCGAAAACACAAAAGAAATGATGTTGAAAAACTCGGCTGAAAAATCTATTAATCAGGGTGCGAATGTCAGTAGAGAAAGGGGAGGTAAGATGTGTACGAATGTGGATTTGCCAAGGGCTGTCACTTTTCACCAGCTGAACACAGACTACGGTGCACACCATAATATGTATGACCCGTTTGCGTTTACGAACTCTGCTAATAATGCAGCTGGACCTCTCGGACTCTCGCCGGCCTGTGGCATGTTGGCTCCCATAAGGAATCTCAACAATAACCCAGGTAACGTTTGTTCTTGGTCATTGTCTTACAGTGCTCTTTCAAGTCTTACAGGTCATTTTTGGTCCATTTTAGCAAATTATGAACTACTTTAAAGCTACTCTGCAAATTTTTCTAAAGTGATCGACTTATGTATTCAAAAAAGTTTAATTAGGGAAAAGTCTAAATTTTGTATCAAAAACAATATATTTTGTCAGATGGCCAAAAACTATGTTTTAGAGATTTTACCCTTCTTAGACTTTGTTGGGCTACATGAGAAGCTCACTTTAATATGATTGAATGAACAATTGACGGTGATATATTACAATAGGTGGTAGATGCAACAGATTTAACTGCGTAGAGAAAAATATCTGGCTCGAACAGGGATTCGAACCCGAGCCCGTGGGCCTTTAGTCCAATGCGTTAACCACTAAACCAACCAGTCTGGGTATTGAGCAGTGATAACTTACGACTTAACCTCACAACAGAGAATAAGTAATTCAAAAACAGTTGTTAGCCATGCTATTTTTCGATTTTGTAAATCAAACTAAAAATAATATGAAAGCAATTGTGTTTGCTTTTCGCAAAAAATAACTGAAACGGCCCCGTCATTGTCCCCGTCCAATGTGTCGGTCAAGAACGCGTTGTGGGAGCAAGAAAATTTAAGATAAGTATGCTTGGCGGTGCACTAACAGCCGTTGTCGGAAACTTATATCCTTGAGAAAAAATTCAATTTTCGAAAATTCGAAATTATCTATTCGAGTTATTGTAACTTTGCTCTTTTTCTGTGCCGTAAAAATGCCAGTCTGCCAAGTTGCCATTCTACTGAAGTTAGTTCAAAAACGGCAGTAGATTTTTATGCTTTATTTCGAAAAACTTGTTCTTGGGTCCTTCAAAACTCAGAAAATTGTGAATACAGATTTGGGGGACCTGCAAAAATTATTCAAATAGACGAATCTGTGGTAGCCAAGAGAAAATACAACCATGGTCGAATGATCAAAGAGAAATGGATTTTCGGCGGATACGACCCGGAAAAAAAGTTCGGTTTTTTGGAATTTGTTGAGGACAGGGGGGCTGAAACTGTGTTAGAGGTAATCTACCGAAGAATTTTGCCTGGAACAAAAATTTTGTCAGGTGGTTGGTCATCTTACATTCCCTTAAGTAGACCGAGACCAGTAGTTTTTCTTCACGAATATGTTGATCACAGCAAAAATTTCAAGGATCCGATCACCGGCGTTCATACAAATAATATCGAAGCAATGTGGGGACAGGCCAAGAAAAACTTGAAAGCTATGAACGGTGTTATTGATCTTTGGTTACCTGCTCATCTTGACGAATTTCTTTGGAGTCAACGTTCTGGGAGCGCTTATGTTGTTTTTGACAACCTCCTATTTCATGTGAAACTCCATTACACGAATTAAAACTTATATCAAAACTTTGTTCCTCCGTTCAAAAGTTTGTATCTTATCTTTTTGCTTTCTATTCATATATTTGTGCTGATTAGTTATGCGCTGGTTGATAAATTCTGCCATTTAACTTTCTTTTCAGTCGGTTTGGTATAGTCGATAACATAAGTGGTTCAAGGCCCAGAGGTATGGGTTCAAATCCCGCTGGGAGCAGTTTTTCTTTTGTAAAGACAGACTATTGCCACCTATTGTAATATATCACCCAATTGACCCGTTAGTTTTAAGCGTAGTTTTTTAAGAGTCGATGAACATAGCTCAGACTCTTATATAGGTACTAGGGATGATTTTTTTCAGGAAAATCTTAAAATTTGTTCAGGCTCAAATTCACTTTTTGCAGTTTGACTTTTGATTTCTTTTTAAGCTCAAATCATTTTTTTTAGTTACTGAGGAATGAACTCTTTATGAAGAATGAACTACACCATTGAGCAGCAAACATTTTTCAAAAAAAAAAGTGATCGACTTCAAGTTTCGAAATTGGAATTTAATTTTCAGATTTCCCAGCGAATAAAAATTTTACCTATTGATTCAGTTTTCTCAAATTGGGTTAATTTAATCAAAAATCTGTCAGTCATAAATTGGTCTTGAAAGTTTGAAGGACGTCTTATTTGTCTTTTAAATTCGAAATTGAGATTTTTCAAAAAATTAAGTCATTTTTTTTTTTCTGTTTACTTGCGTTCATTGACTCTTTTCGAACTGCCTGTTGGCTATGTTTGACTTAAATACGCCAAAATGAATAGTTTTGGGGCGAGTTTGAAATCGTATAAAAATTTGCACCATATGAGTTCTGGCAAGATTCTCAGCAATTTGGGTCCCCAGTTTTTGTATAATGTGAATTTGAGAAAAAAAAACATTTTGTTCGTTCTGACCGAATAATTAAAAGTTCAGCCCTGTATTAAAAAATTACTAATATGCGCTTCTTTTGCCCCAAACTCAAGTCATTTAGCACTCAAAAAGATATTAGAAAACAGGGCCTTTTAAAATAAGGCTGAGAATTTGAATGGTTTGCCGTGTGTTTAGTATTTGGGATCCCGAGACATCAAGATGTGTATAATGCTAATAAAATCCACACAGAACCGAACCTTCTAGCTCTGGTTCCCGAATCGAACTTCAGAGGAAATTTCCAGGGACCTTCACAGCCCTTCCCAAGTGGCGGAGCCTTCAGTCTAAAAACCCAGCCTCGATTTTGGTCTCAAGGTATCGCCAATACAAACCCTGACAGATTTAACCAGAAAGCACCTCCCAGGTCGTTGACTAAGTTAAACGAGCACGAAAGAGCAGTGTCGACTCCAAATTTCACACTTGCGATGACGCAGGCGAATTTTGGCGACAGACAACACTCCCCTATCCACTCGAGTCCGATGCGGAAACTGAGCAGCGAGTTGCTTCATATTGCATACAGCCCAAGTCCGCCTCATCGAAAGCACTCGAACTCTGAGGGAGGGAACCCGACAAACTCTCGAAGTAGTTTACAGAAATCTGAAATGGGATACCAGCCTTCGTTGAACATACACGAGCAGCTGTGCGACTCAAACTCGGATTTGGCGAACGAAGTTCCGATAAGTGTGTTTAGCGTGTCTCCATCTAGTCAAAGAAGAAGATCGCTGAGCAGTCTAATTCGAGGCAGTTTCGACGGAAGTGACCTTGACCTCGCTGCAGTACCGCGTGATCTAAGTGATGTCAACATTATGACGGACAAGGAACGCGAACTGGCCGAGAACTTAACCATGGCGCTGAGTATTGCCCAGTGTTTGTTCAAGTTCGCTACCGCAAATACGGACATTCTACCCGAGATACTGTCAGAATCAGCTTCTGATTATTTGAAAGACAGAGACTGGGATCTGGATTTTCCCATGGAGATCAATACCACCACCGAGAAAATCATGTTCCTTCTGCGATCACTGGAAGTCATTCGCAATTGCGCAGACCAAGTAAAGGAAGCGCAACACGAAACCCATTTTTCGCCAAAGACTAACCTCATCTTACGCCAGTTGCATGACACTTTCAGTACGAACTTGTGCAGCTTGCAAAAAATGTGCAGTGATAACCCAGAGTACAGTAACCTCAGTTTAAGCACTGACCAATTGCGCAACTGTGCGAACGGAGTGATCTACGCACAGGCGTTGCAGTCGTGCCGAGAAGCCGCGCTGGACGAGCAGAGTCACTGCTGGCGTCGGGCTTACTACAATTACCGCAACGCACAGTTGCTGTTAAGCTGTCTGCTGCTGGACGCTGGAATCGAGAACGACCGATCGTTCATAACAAGGGTGTTCCAAATGGTGGAATATCGTCTGGAGTGCTGCCTTCAGAGCAAAATTGCCGAGAAGCAAGAGTCTTCAAGTTAATTCGATTTTCTGCTTAGTTTAGTGCGATGTTTTTGTGAAATAAACAATGAATTTACTAGATTAAGTAAATAGTTCATTGCAAGCATCAGTGAAAATGTGCTACACTTAATTGATTTGAATGAATACAAAAGCAAATAAAATTATTTGGTGCTCATCATTCCTGGAAAAGTTATAGATAATTGTTCTTTGATCCAATCCCACAGCGACAACATATTGTTGATTCAATAGATGTTTGACTATCCTATGGACCAGAGTTGCAATGCGCTGAAAGATATAGTCTAGCCGCTACCGCGATAAAACGTGAGGCTAGGTCCAAAATTCAAATCCCAAGAGATTGATTTTTGTAATAGGGACAAGAAACTGTAATGGCGTATTTTGATCTGCTGGACACCGGCAAGATAGTGTACAAAAAAGACACAGGATACAATCAAGATTACAAGAATCGAAAAGGTTGAAAAAAAAAACGGAACGTATATATTTTCGGATACTGCAATGGCGTAAGAAACTGTAATTGCGTATTTTGACCTGCTGCGCACTTGCTAGATAAAGTGTACAAAAAAGACACAGGATAATCAAGATTACAGGAATCGCAAATGTTGAGAAAATGGAACGTATGTATTTTCGGAGACTGTAATGGCGTAAGAAACTGTAATGGCGTATGTTGACCTGCTGCACACTTGCAAGATAAACTGTACAAAAAAGACACAGGATAATCAAGATTACAGGAATCGCAAATGTTGAGAAAATGGAACGTATGTATTTTCGGAGACTGTAATGGCGTAAGAAACTGTAATGGCGTATGTTGACCTGCTGCACACTTGCAAGATAAACTGTACAAAAAAGACACAGTATAATCAAAATTACAGGAATCGAAAAGGTTGAAAAAACGGAACGTATTTATTTTCGGAGACTTTAATGGCGTAAGAAGGTGTAATTGCGTATTTTGACCTGCTGCACTTTTGCAAGATAAACTGTACCAAAAAGACATAGGATAATCAGGATTACAGGAATCAAAAAGGTTGAAAAAATGGAACCTAAATATTTTCGGAGACTAATGGCGTAAGAAACTAATGGCGTATTTTGACCTACTACACACTTGCAGATAAAATGTACAAAGAAGACACAAGATAGTCAAGATTACAGGAATCCAAAAAGTTGAAAAAAACGGAACATTAATACTTTCGGAGACTGTAATGGCGTATTTTGACCTGCTGCACACTTGCCAGATAAACTGTACAAAAAAGACACTGGATAATCAAGCTCACAGGAATCGAAAAGGTTAAAAAAACGGAACGTCGATATTTTCGGAGACTCTAATAGCGTAAGAAACTGTAATTGTGTATTTCGACCTGCTGCACACTTGCAAGGTAAAATGTAAAAAGAGACACAGGATAATCAAGATTACAGGAATCGAAAAGATTGAAAAAAAAACGGAACGTATATTTTTCGGATACTGCAATGGCGTAAGAAACTGTAATTGCGCATTATGACCTGCTGCACACTTGCAAGATAAAAGGTACAAAAAAGACACAGGATAGTAGTAGAAGAGTGAGCAAGAGTGGGGAGTGGGTGCAGACCTCCATGTATTAAGATAGGGAATAGAGCATCCAATCTGCAAGCTATGTATTAAGATAGGGTATAGATTTCCTATGTATTAAGATACCAAGTTTCAGATGGTAAGTTTTTTCGGCGCCCGAATATCCCAAGTATAGTGTATAGATATCCCTATGTATTATTTCAATGTAGGGAATTAAGAGCTCAGTAAGATAAGGAATAGATTTCCTATGTTTTGAGATAGGGAATAGGTTTCCTAATTAAGATGGTAAGGTTTCAGATGGTAAGTTTCAGAAAAAATTTTTGGCGCTCGATCTTACCATGTTTTAAGATAGTGTATAGATTTCCCTATGTATAAGGATTCAGTGTAAGGAATTAAGACCTCATTAAGATAAGGAATAGATTTCCCAATGTATTAAGATAGGGAATGGCATGTTTTTAGTGTGATGCTAAGAAAATGGTAAGAAAAACGGTAGTTTTGGATTTTGTGTGGAAATGTCTAGTTTTTTTTTTGCAAAAATTCCAGCGCGTGTTATGTAATTGATGAGTTTTACATGTAGATTGTGTAATGACAGTATTATATTTTTTTGGTTCAAGGTAAGTCAATGGTAAGATGGGCAAAAATTTGGAACTTCTATCAAAAAAATTGAAAATTTTCTCAAAAAACTTTACAACACGATAAGTTTTGATATACTTTGACTTGAAAACTTTTTTATTAGATGATCTTACTTTTTAAAACAGTTCTCAATCCAGTTGAAACTATGCTGAAACCTACTGAAAGTTCGAAAAAAGTCAAGTCTATGGAAAAAATTTAAAGATTTTAGATTTTTTTAAGATAGAAAGTAGAAGGGACCCTATATTACTAGCAAGCGTTTTGTCCGACGTAGATAATTATTGCTTACGTAATACCAGCCTTGGCCAAAACAAAACTTGAGTTGACGTCTTTTGATCCAAAAAACTGATCCGAGGTGTTCAATCTTAGAATTTCAACACTTGTTTTATGGCACTACTGGCAATCAAGTAATTGTCACCGAAATTTATTTAACAGCCTAAGTCTGACTCCAGAACACAGTCGTAGTTACAATTAAGTCACTCTCTTCTGAAAACATGTTCGAATCGGGCAACAACTTGTACATCTAAGATTTCTGTTCGGCTCAACGTAAATCAATTCCGATATTATAAGTTTCAATAATTCAACTTCTTACACCATGATCCGAGGAGTGAAAAGCGTCGCAAGCGACGATTCACAGATTTTTAAAAGGCACATAAAGAGACAATAAGCAGCGCGCCTCAATTTTTTTTGTAGGAATATATGAAACCGCGCGAATTGATTCAGACCTTTAGTGGTGATTTCGGGAAATAAAAGCCAGCGAAGGAAAAAGTTGGCACCAGTTTTGCAATTTTCACTATTTAAAGGAATTGACAGTAAGCACTAGGTGAATTGAACATTAATAGCAGCTGAAACATCTTAGCTTCGACTTTTTTAAAATTTAATTTAAGCAAAATATTCCATTTATTGATTTGTCTTCAAAATTTTTCATGAGCGATCGAGACTTTCAATCTAAACCGCCACGACAATGTAGCAAATGAATCCAGTTGGCGACGTTTTATTCGTTGCAACTATAGCAGAAGTAATAATCAGCATATCTGGAAAACTTGTGCACGTGAATCAACCATCCTTTGAAAATTTTCTTATGAGAATTTTTTTTAGAAGTTTAAAACTACGAGGCATGCGTTTTTGTGAAAAGGAACTAACAACGAAACGTAGCGTCGCCCAATTATCAAATTGTTCTAAGTAAAAGACGACACTGAAGTCTTCCGGAGCTATTTACGTCCAAAACGCTGCGGATATTAACCTGGACAGTATAAATTTTTACGGCTTTTGACTCTTCACACACATAAAGTACATTACAGTTTCTTTGAAAATAACCACTAGCTCAATCGTTAGAACTTCCTTCTTTTTGGTTTGAGTTTGGATGACGAAGATCAAATGCTGATCTTTGCCACTGACGAGAACTTGGAGAAGTTGGAAGCTAATTCTGACATGCTGATAGGTTAATCAAAGCTTGCCTAGCTGTATTTTAATAAGCATGAACAACAAAGTTTACTCAAGATTTTCTTATTATTGCGGTCGTTAATGAACAAAAAGTTCCGCTAGTTTTCTTCCTTCTCCAGGCAAAATTGAGGATCAATTCGTCCGAATATTCGGACATTTTAAAGAGATCAGGCCACGACTTGAGTTTCTACAGGCAGTAGTCAGGTTTCGAAAAACCTTCTATGGAGTCATTAATGTTTATTTTTCCATTTTGGCTAGGCTAACTGGCACAAATTTGAAGAACTTGCGTTTGTGTCAGTTTTTTGACATGAAAAGAGAAGCATGTTTTCACAGTGCTTCGATGCGCGAGCTCGAATTATTACACCTGAGCTCTTTTAGAAGTCGGAAAGATTACATAATGCAGTAAATTATTATAAACCCGATGAGTTATAGTCATTAGAATACATGGGCTTTGTTCAGTTTGCGGTAAAAAAACGCATTCATCGAGGACGCAGCAGAGGCTATTGGAATTCCCGATTTTTTTGTGGGAACAATACGAACGCGCGAAAAACGAGAGACAAAAACAATAATTTGGTCGAGTTCTATGAAAAACCCATCAAATTTCTTCATGAATGACATAAACTTCTATAAAGACTTTGTAGTACATTATGAATCTTGTTAGCTTCCAGTTTTATAACGATAAGCCAAACCCAAACTTCTAAATCAACTAAAAACCATCGTTTTTGGTAATTTGAATTTGCTCCTGAAAAAGTTTCAATTGCATCCACTTAAAACGTCGTCCATCTGAATAGTCGGGAAAGTTAGTTATCGTTTGTCTAAGACCTCAATTTCTGTTCCAGTTTGCTTGATAGACCACTTTGTTGTTCATGCTGGGGAGGGTTCTCATGCTAGAGTTACCGAATGCTGGAAAAGTTTCAGCCAATCAATATCGCTGCGCGTTCTTATTGGTTAAATACCTTTCTCACAAAATCGAACTCAATATTAACAGAATATGATAATATTTTATAATAGATGCAGATATAATAAATTTAGTGTTTTGGTTTTCCATTTTTCCTAAATCGGTATCTTTGAAATATAAAATTTGTTCCAATCCCCCTTCGATCCGGCAATGTTTCCATTCATCTGCTTATTACCTAATCGGTCAATATTAACACTAATGGCCTGGGTTTATTTGCTTACTTTGAGATTTCCCTGAGATTTTTGAATATTCAGTTTTGATTGGCTGAAAATAAGCCAAAATAAATTTCAGGCATTCGGTCTCCAGCATGAGGGACTCCACCGTTCATGATTGTCTTAAGATGGAAACTGAAAGTTAATGGAAACAAGGGGTAGTATAAATAATATGTACCAAAATCAGCTTTAAGGAACAGAATAGAGCACTGAATAAAATGTTTATTGTTCTGACTTAAGAGGAAAATTAGGAATATATATGTATGCCTGGAGTAGGTTTTTTTTTTGTTCAGACCGACTTCACAAAAGTTGACTGCGTATGGGAATCGATCCGAAAATATTTGGATTGCCAAGCGAGTATGCTTTAACTAGACTAAAATGCGAATGGCTGTTTTGCTTGAATCATGCGTTGATAGTTTATATTTTAAGTTAAGGGGGTTTAAAGATTGCCAATTTTAAGCGATACATAAACGCGCGATACATATCGTGCTATTAACGCGTAAGCGGAGATTTAATCCGGTCTTTGAAGTAGTTCTAA